AAAAGTGAAGCCAAACACAATCACTACACATTTGCTGGAGGCAAAATATCTGGAAAGATTTTTCTACATTCAAGAATAAGTGATCAAGAAAAAAAAAAGGACCTATGATAATATGCTACAGAAACTGTAAAGGAAAATGTCATTCATAGATCAGTGAACATGAGCTACGGGAGGAACCAATATGATTTTAAAGGAAATGTTTTGGCATCTTCAAATGTCAAAAGATACTGGCTCAATCAACTAGGAACCAAAAGCTAAAGGGAGAGATCTAACTCAATTAAAAAGACAATGGAATGAGTGAAAAAGAAAGAGAAATATGATAAATAGGGATAACAAAGAAATTTTGAAGAAAAAAATTAAAATCTATACAGGAGACAAAGACAGTAATTTATACATTTCAGAGAATCAGACTGGTGCTCTTGAACACAAATTTAAGAAGCCCTTGGAACATGAAGAAAAATTTCTAAGAGATGGACCCAATGAGATGAAAATGGGAAATCAGAGGATAAAATAGCTGAAGAGAAAGCTGTGATTGCCCTCTAGGAGAAAAATCAGACTAACTGAATAACGGGAATAACTAAAGAAGCTTCCCATAAGTAAGAGAGTCATGTGCATCTGTTAGTGAACACTCATCAGAAAGGTAATTTTTAAGTTAACAGGATAAAGAAAATACACCAATTCCAGAAAAGAAAAATGAGGCTGCCCACAAAGAATCACCTATCAGATTGGCCTCAGACTCCTCCCCTTTAGCGCTAGCACCCTTGAGCATAGGACATTTCCAAACTTTTCAGGCAAAAATATGTGTCCAGTAAGTCTATATTCAGACATGTGTGAAAACAAAAAGATGACATTCTCAGGTATAAAGACATGTCCCCAAATATGTATATATAGCACACAAGGAAGATGAATACATAATGATATATTTATAAATACACTATGTATGTGAATATGTTTTGATATGATACATGTCATCAAGTTGAGTTAATGTCCTAAATAAACAAGATAGCTGTTTTTATCATCTTAAGAGAGAATGAGATGAGCAAATTTTGGAGTTAATCTGAGAAATTTCAAACAGATATTAGAGGACAGCAATTTAAGAAAATAAATTACCTACAAAAAGAAATTAACCTCTCTATTCTAATATAGGTAATAATAGAAATTACTTTGAAAAATCTTAAACATATACATACTTACAAACACAACAAACACATGCATACAAATAAATATATATAAAAGACAATGCAAATTTACACATACACACATGCATACAGATATGTACAAAAATATGCAAATATCTTTTTTAAAGAGAAGCCTAAGGAAGAGGTAAAACCACTGATAATATGAACAAACATTTAAATTTGTTTACCTAAAAGTAATAAAATAAAGAATGATTCTCTTGTACATTATTCTAGATTTACCAATTTGCCTTCTATGAACATGTATCAATTTTTGTAATTAGCAAAAATGTAAATATTACACAAAAATATCACTTAATATTTTAATGATTTTTCTGTATAATGCCATACAATTCACATATACTTAATCTCAATTCATTCAATTATTTATTTCTTTGCTGATTCTTTTGTTTATTATACAATAAATGTATATATATCCACACACACATATATATATATACACACACACAAATATATGTATGTATGTATATATATATATATATATATATATATATATATATACTAGCACCTTTCATGTGTTAGTAATGTATCTAAGTTCTAATGTAACCAAGTACTAATGTTAGAGAGAAGTGAAAAATAGTTATTTCTCATAGACTATCCATTGTAACTTAATCTCCCAAATAGATAAATAATTATAACTTTTGATGGAAAAATACAGTCTGTTATAAAGCTTCCTGAAGGAAGTAACATATAAAGTGAAACATGAAGAACCTGAAGAATCAGATGGAATTAGCCTTGACTCACACTGAAAAAATATTCAAGTATATTTAACTACCCATCATGTGTGCCACTGACTAAATATCAACTTTTAAATCTATTTTTAAATTAATTATTTAATTAGATTATTGGTAATGATAATGATTTGATTAGATTATTGCAATGACTTTCACAAGTGTTGGTTTAAAACCATTTCAGCACTGTGATTATATTTCATATTAGACTCTGGCTAAAAAGATAATGTTATAAGGGAAGAACTTATTTATATGGATTATGTAGAGTATCCTGGTATTTGAAAGAAAGAAGACTTTAGATTATCTGTTGATGTGTAAGATAAACCCCATCACATTATTAACATTAATTTTTTGTTCTGATGGATACCATTTGGTATGAAGGAGCACAATCATCTTTCAGAACCTCTCTTGTAACCCATGGCCAAACCTCATCTTTATAAGGAGTAACTGAGTAGAAGAGATTAATTTAGCAGAGAAAATGAACAGAGTGCCTTTTCCTTAATTTTCAGAACCTCTAATAAACACTATGCATAATCTTTAATTAGAATTTTTAAAAGCACCTTTAAAATTGACTATTATTATCCATAATAAAATAGAATATAAAATCCATATAGGATCATGGTAACCTAGCTATAATACACTTATTCTTCATTTTCACCACTGCAGCTACAGGACCCCTGTTCTTTTGGGGTTTCTTAAAACAGTCTCTCTCCAGACGATGACAGTTCTCTGTGGGCCACCAGGTATTGGCTACATCTTATGCTATGTTTGGGAATCCTCTCAGGAAATGGACTGGGGACTTCATCTTTCAACAACTGACTAATATATCCACCCTGGAACATTGCTTTGTTCTTTCCAAAAAAGGAAGTTGAGTGACTATTCCGGTTGGCTGCTAAAAATCCACATGGATAGTGAAGGTTTGAATGTCATACCTTAAAAGTTATGTAACATTAGTGTTACAAAATGCTTTAGTTGTACCAAAAAAATATAGGTCTTACAGAATGGATTTAAGTCAATTTCCTACTTTTATAACTTGCTCTTCTTCGATGGAATAGCTATTGAGTGTATGAGATACTATGACTTTTTTTTTGAAAAAAAAAAATTCCCCAAGAACACACTTGAATGTCACTTTGACCTTTTCTAAATATGCACAACAAATAAATAATTAAAAGTCAACAGAAAGGAGTTTTATGCTCAGAAATATATTGTTTCAAACATACTATAAAGAAAAGTCTTCATGTACATGTGTACATATGTATATATAAAATATATATGTGTACATATGTATTATACACATATATAATGTTATATATTATCATGTCTATATTATTATGTTTCTGGTCCATTCTTGGATCTGAATTCTTCTAAGGCCTACATAGCCTTTCTAATTAGAAACTCTTTTCTCAAACATGTCAGATTTCTCAGAGATCTCACTTCATTGATATCAAAGGAATATGTACACACTGGAGGAATCCAAATCATGTCAGGAAATGGTGACTCCTCTAAACCATCAGAAGAAACCCTACCTGGAGTATTTCAATAACTGCCAACACCACAGGTGTTAACATCAGTATGAAACTTTATATTTAAGCTCACTTTTCAAATAGAGAAATTATTTTAGTCAATACAAATGGCACTACGACAGGATGGCTGTTATTCTGTGTTCTCTGAATAAAAGACACTTTCAGGAAAAAAGAATTGAAAAGTATATAATCCTTAAAGATAATGCTCTTGCTATATTAAAACAGGAATTTCTCTATGAGCAAAATCTTCTTTGCTAGACATACAGGGCTAGTCGTAGGCATGATTGATTTTGAAGGCTTCTACTAATACTAGGTTGCAGTAACAGTGTGTTCAGGATATCTGGGCAAGTTTGCTGTGCTTCTGGAAATAGAGGGATTGGATGGACTGGTTAATCTGGCAAAAGAAATATGCTCAGCCTTTAAGGTCCTAGCATGGAATGCTGTCTTAGGATATAACACCTTCTACAAAGTAGCTCCTATGCACATTTATTAAAGATGCCTATCACACTTAAATAACTTGGCTATTTCAGACATTGATTTTTAACTGAAAGATGATATCAAGGCTTAGGAACATGATTTCCAAAAATGTATTTTAAGTTTTAGAAGCATGAAGGCTTGCATGAGATCACAGAAGTAAAAAAAAAAAAAAAAAACCTCCTGAAAAAATAAAATCAGATAACCCATAAGAGCCTTTGGAGAAGGGGTACACATGCATGAATGGTCTCCTTGCTGCATCCAAGTTGTGAAACTCTTAGGGCTATAATATCTTTCATTTGATCAATCACAGTTTGAGAGCATGGAACAAATAATGAGGTACAGCAGAAGAACATGAATAATTTTCCACCCATAGGTTCACAGCACAGTTCCTTTGCAGAGGGAATTGTACCCCAAGACCACCACCATTATTTTGTGTGTGTGTGTGTGTGCACGCGCATGTCTTCCAGACTTGACCTTCCTCTGGCCTTAGAATTATCTAGCTTGTTTTCCTCTATGGGCAGCCGTAGACTAAGGAAGAGATTGGTCAAAAAGCCCACCCAGAGGTACCATAATAAATGGAAGTGGTACTAACATATCAAGCACGGATTGCGTTGGTACTATAGACTCCCGTGAGTCACCTGTGTGGGAAGTCAGACAAAAACATCCAAACAAAACAACCAGAAGACAAACTGAGGAAACGACGCTCTTTAGAGTCCAATGAGGAAGCCAAGTATCATAAATTTCCGAGTGGCCAAATCCTAGAAGGAAAGATACTGAAGAAACTCCTAAAGAATGTTGTAGGGATTTTTGTTTCCAAAAGGGACCCATGCACCTGTTGATGTATTTTCCAGGCCCTTGAATGATAGCCATTTATGAGGCTATTAATACTAAGCCCAAGATTTATCAGATGTGCTGTTTGTCTTGTGGCCACTGTAACCTCATAAAATTTGGGTTGCATTGGGTTAAAGTGGAGCGTTCTGCTGCTGGAGTTATTCTGAGCATTTAAATCGGCTAATCCTACAAGAAGGGTGCATTTCGCTTGCCTATTAGGGAGAGTCTTTAGGGATTCCTACCAGTTGCAGAGCCAGGCTGGAGGGGGCGGTCCGTTGCAGGGTGTGGTAAAATGGAGGCAGCAGGGGAAGAATGAGTCCTGGAGAGAAGGCGATGTTTCTCTAATCCATCCATGCCAACCACAGCCAGCTGAGCCTGGCGCGCCGAGAGCGCACGTGTGTGCGGGGGCTCCGGGAAGGGCTGCTGCAGAGCAAAGAACACAGTAGACAGAAACGTGAGACCAGCATCCAGGGAGACACTGAGAGCGACATGTCAACAAATTAAGTTCATCAGGTCAGAGACATAATAAACGGTGTGAAGGGAAAAGAAAAAAAAAAAAAGAGAGAGAGAGAGAGAGAAAGGGAGAGAAAAAACAAGATCCAGTCAATAAATCCATTCAACAGATGTTTTCACACTGAAGGCCAGAGACTGTCTGCCTGGCCCTGGAGAAGGTGATGGCAGGACGCCTGTCAGTTTCAACTGATTGAAAGGAACAGACCTTTAACCCCAAGAGTAAGGTTGACTTACTCCATTTCCTACCTTGATACCAACGTTTTGAATACAGCCCCAGAAGGGTTGCAATACAAAAGTGGGAGAATAATTCAACTGCTTTCCAAATAAGTCTCAATTATGAAAATCCTATCCTGAATTTATTTCAGTAATATTGTTAATGAAATTGATGGGCGCCTCTAAAAATGACCAATTAAATGGTTTTATTTTGACATCTTTCAATTTTCATATAATGGTGTAGAACAATGAGTTTTTCATGGTTTACAGGGTATAATCTCAACACTGTAATTTGTTTCTTTGATAGAGTATTAGATGTATTAGGTGTATTGTTTTTCATACTTCTAAAGTTGATCAAAGGACCAGAGTTTAGGAGCTTCCAGAAAATTCACTTAGTCTATTTCTCTGTCTTCAAAGAGACACTCTCTAAAACACAGTTGGCAGCTAATTTAACCATCAAAACTATGCAGTAATTATTTAATCTCTCACCAACAGGAATTCATAAATTTCATGCTGTTTTTTAAAATATTTTTCCTAAGGAATATGGAAAATGGCTGAACAGTGCTACAAAACCTGATTATCGCTTGCCATCAATAAGGATGGGAAAGTTCCAAAAGGTTAACAAAATTTAAAAAATGCAAGTCTAATCCCTATAATTTGAAAAATGTGTATGTTGCTTTGCTTTGACCTACAAGGCTAGCATTTCAGGACTTGATGCAAACTTCACTTTTCTTTCCCTTTAGGTTAGATACTCCACTGCACCCAACATGTCATACTCTTCCTGCATTTCCCACACAAGGATTGACAAATATTAGGTACATAAATCACTCACTGAGGGAGGAAGCTCACAAATCTACATATAACACAACTGTGCTCCATGCATAGTATGTGGTTTTATGTCATTATAGCTTTTTCTGTACATGACATGAATTAATGCTATACATCAATGCATGTTTGATGATGAAAAAATATAACTTTTAAAATAGTTACAGAATATAGACAGAGATTTCTGAATTCAGAAAAAAATATGAATCATTGAAAGTTAACTTTAAAATGGATTATAATCAACATGTATGTGGTTGCTTCAGTTTTGCTGAGCAGAATATTCAAACCATCAATAAATTGGAAGGCACTCACTGTCATATGCTCATGCTTTGGTCATTTGCTTTGTTGACCAGAATGGCTCAGTCAATGAGGTTTAGAAGAAAATTTAATGCATTCCCAAGACCTGAACTTTTTTGTTTTCTTGAGTATCTCTATGTTCAATGCCCTGAGAATACAGAAGTATTAATTACAAAGAATATAAATATATACATATCACTTCAGGCCTTTCTAATCAGGAAAAGGAAGCTTTTCTGCATATGATCTAAACTGCACAGGTAAATATTCAAATATTGAATATTCAAATATTCTCATTTATCTTCCTGTAATCTCTTTAACTCTCATCTAAACCAACACAAAAGACTTCGAATTGAGCACTTTACTTAACCAGCCTTATTTCTTCCTACAAGCATTCTCTTCCTAAAGCCCTGCTGAAAGCCAAAAGTTGACACAAAGAAGCTCTGAAGGCCAGTTGAAGTTTAAAGAACCTTCTCCACCTGTCTTTTCAGCTCTCCTTAACCTGAGGCCAACCTACATTTTCAGCCTTAGGTCATCTTTCATATTTCTAGGTTTCTAGCCAACATACTGCCTCCTGTACACAAGCATCTCCAGGGCTGCCTTATCACTTTCAACGGCCCTGCATCCTTTTACCTTACTGGGTCCTTTCCTGCCAAAAACCAATATTATAATTTTTATACCCACATTTGGTTCATTATTATATATTTATTAGTATTACATTAATTCTTTCCTTCAGCTTAACAAATGTTTCGTGGGCCCCTAAAGGTACCACAGTCCTGGTCTGTTATGTCTAAGGGTCTATGGACCTTAATCATTCCTGCCTCTACCAGCCCATCCTTTCTGTAACTCCCCTCTGCAGGTGCCTAGAAAGCTTCATATTCATCTGATACATATCTACTAAGGTCCACTTCAAACTTCAAATAGATCCTTTTTTGAGCACCCATCTAAGCCTTCTTTCTCTTTCCATTACATTCCCATCACACTTCATTTTTCTCTGTGCTTTTCCCTGCCATAGTCTTTTATAGATTTGAGATGTTTCATGTAGTCACTATTTCTCAAGCTCATAGTTTGTGCCAGACACTTTGCTAGTATGTTGAGCTTTTTATGCTTATTGTCTAGTGAGGAGAGAGACACTAAATATTTATAGTTATAAATATAATGAATGCTATATAGGAAAAATTCAGGATGCTTTAAAAACTGTTTTTAAAAAAGCTGATAAAGAGGGTTAAGTAATTTTCATCTAAGAAAATACATTCAATTTGAAATGTGAAGGATTAATTAGAATGAGCCAGAGACAGAGTGGGAAGAAGCTCTATAGACATTTTACTCATGTGTGAGTAGGTGCTCACCTGTATGAAGTCATCTTTCTTTATGTAATATTGAAAGCTTTTAGAAGCAGGAACTAGATATAACTCATCTGTTGACTTGCTCTGCTATATTTTATCTTTTCTCATGCTTTCTAAATAATTATTTGTGCATTAAGACTATGTGGAACAGACACTTGTAAGTTAAAGGCCATTTTTTAAAAAATAATATCACCAAAATTTATTCATTTATTTATTTATTTATTTATTTATTTATTTTATTTATTTATTTTTTGGTACCAGGGATTGAACCCAGGGTTGCTTAACCACTGAACCACATCCCCAGCCCTTTTCTATATCTTCTTTAGAGACAGGGTCTTGCTGAGTTGCTAAGTGCCTTGCTAAATTGCTCGGGCTGGATTTGAACTTGCAATTGTCTTGCCTCAGCCTCCCAAGTCGTTGGGATTACAGAAATGCACCACCACTCCTGGCAGCATAACCAAATTTTAAACCAGGTGCAATGGCACATGCCTATAATTCCAGCAGCTCAGAAGGCTGATGCAAGAGGATTACAACTTCAAAGCCAGCCTAAGCAATTCAGTGGGGGTCTCACTTAGTGCCTCACTAAATTGCTTAGGCTTTTCCCTAATTAGTAAGTTCCATGAGGAAATGAGCTTTGTTTGTTATATATTCCCATGCAATGCTGTACACATAGTCGATGTTAATAAATATTTGAATGTTGAATAAATAAATTAATAAAACAAAGATAGCCATCCTTAAAATTTTATTATAAGATAGATCAAACAAGCATATTAAAAGCAATCATAACAATGAAGAGTTAAGGAATGGCTGAGAAAAAAATATGAGAAATAGAGTCCAGACAAAACAATTGTCAAAGGACAATACCCTGAAATTAGCACTGGTGCCAAGAGATAATAAAGGAAAAGTTCCGGTGATTTGACGATTATTTTTCTTTGTACTTTCATGTGTTTTCCAAGTTTTCTGCCTATCATATATGTTAAAACTTTAATTAAGAAAAATGGTAAATGTTATTTAAACTAAATGGTCCAACCTTTCAAACACTTCATTAGGACAGATTCATAATCATTATACATACAAGCAGACAGGGTCAAAATGTTCAAACCTGCTTCCAAAATAGGAAAATTTAAGAAAGAAAAGGTTGTTAGTTTTCAAAATTAGTCGACTAGAATCATGTATTTTTACAAATGATGTATGACTTTTAATGTGCAGGGAGAGTTAGAACAATCCAGGAAGCCACACATTAATACAGTGCACATGAGTCACTACTTTATCAGAAAATGCTTGGCCACTTTAAATTCAAATGTCTCCTTCCTCATCAATAAAAAGGTATCCTTCTTGAGGATGAAAACTTGAGATTACATTTTTCTGTTCTAGCTGAATTGGAAGAGTTTCACTAAACTTTTTTTTCACTCTACCTAATAGAAGAGAATTTTATCTAGGTAATTTTGGGTACTTTTAAGTATGAAAGTACATGTTTTTTCTTGCATTGTCAGAAAATTAAATGTCAAATACATGAGAACCTACAGTTATTAAAAATTGGATGTATACCCAAATTCACATTTCACTTACGGCGCACAATTAGAAATGTGTCATGTCCTTCATGTAAATAGGAAGCACGTCCACCACACAGAACTTTTGATTAAAAACATTTTAAATACATACATTGAGTCTATTTCTTTTGTAACTGTTAGTCTTTCTTTTGTTTTTTTCAGGTGATATAACTTAGGGCCTGATTTTTTTTAATATTGATTTTTTAGTTGTAGTTGGACACAATACCTTTATTTTATTTGTTTATTTTTGTGTGGTACTAAGGATTGAACCCAGAACCTTGAACGTGCTAGGCTAGCCCTCTACCGCTGAGCCATAACCCCAGCCAAAAATAGGGCCTGATTTTGACTGGTTATTTTACCAGAGTGTCATTTTACTTTACTGGGATGTATAGGTCAACTTTTCCTTAAATAAAGTGGTCTAAACCCATTGTTCTTAAACACCAATTGCCTCCTCCCACTGGTAAAAACTAAAAAATTACTTTCACAGAAGAGTTATTACATACCTACTTTATAAAATCCTGAATATTGCCTTGTAAACATCAGTGTTGTTGTGACCCTGCCTTTCAATTGGCATAGAGCATTGCCAGTGCAATCTATTCAAAATAGGTGGAGATGGTTATGGAAGCTCTTTCTGTAACAAGCACAATGTTCTTGCTTAGAACAAAATATTTATTTTGGGATA